TTGGGTTGTCACGTGGAAGTCTGGATTGTGTCTAGTTCTGAAAACCAATATAAAATTACCCTGGACCACAAGGTTATATTGTATGACTATGAATTTGGCACTGAACATACACTGGCTACATATAAAAGGTGCTGAAGGCTATTATCACGTTGGCCGTGCAAATCATGTTGTTTCACAAATTCTGATGGTCCTTAAGACGATTGAGCTGCTGAACATAGCCAGAAAATTGCCACCAGATAAACACTCAACAAGAAATGAGTAGAAGTTTGCTGTCGAGAAGTAGAAAACTTTATCATAAATCCAGCTCGAGATTTCAATGAGACCATAAGGGTGTACTCCATCGGGGAATCAGATAACGGATGTAGACATTGTCACGAGGAAAAAATCGCTTGAGGAGAAGAAACTATTCATAGACTGTACTAAGGTATGTGAATCTACGGTTTCAGTTCGGGATTCATATATTAACGCAAAACGAACTATGGGGGAGCCAAGTCTGAGTGGTGTAGATGATGTGATCAAGAGATGAAATAAAGTAATTGGGTGGATCGCAATCACACCCAGGGAAAGAGAAGTAAGAACGCAGAAAATAACCTCTGTGTTGAACATTAAATTGGGATCGGATTGCAGGGAAGAAACCATATCAAGAACTAATATTCCACAGTATGTTAAGAAGGACCCCAATGAGAGGCTAGTCATTTTTCATAAGGTGAGAGAATCTTTTGAAATGGAACGGAAGACCAGATTTGAGCACGACCTTAGTCACATTAAGTCCTCAATAAACAAGCCACTCCCAGAAACAGTTTATGGTTAGCATTTGTAAGCTGCATAGAATAGGAAAAGGGTAGATTCTGAAAATAATCGAAAAAGCCTTTTGTTGGAAATTACCTCGGCTATTGTTTATGAAAGAGACGTGATACTGAGAAAGTCACGCAAATTGATTGGATCTGGAATATATTTCCATGAGGATCTAAGCCTGGTTGGCCATATTAAGCTGTGGAAGTAGAAATAAACGAGCACCTCTGAAACGGTGAAAAAACCTTATATTTAAGGGTTTTTAAATTGAAAACGTTCGGAGCAGTAGAGCTGATAGTTTAAACCGTATGGAAGGCGGGGTTATCCTGTACACGGAAAGTGCCTTAACCATAGAAGCAGTTGATACAGTGACTCATGACTCAGGGAAATGCGAACTGGCGCGTTGCCAGCTGAAACGTAGACGACAATATATTGAATTGATTGTATTATATCGCACTCCACATTCTCTTCAATAAAATTTGAGATGAGGGACAAGTACCAAAAGACTGGAAAGAAGGACTTCTGATCAAAATACCGAAGAAAGGCGATCTCAGCAAGTGTGATAACTACAGTGGCATCACTCTTCTTTCAATACCAGGAAAAGTTTTCAACAGGGTATTGTTAAACAGAATAAAGGACTGCATAGACGCCCTACTTCGTGACCAACAGGCAGGATTCCGTAAGGAAATATCGTTGATAGACCAAATCGCAACTCTACGGATCATTGTGGAACAATCGATTGAATGAAATTCATCACTCTACATCAACTTCATTGACTACGAAAAAGCATTTGACAGAATGGACAGGACAACGCTATGGAAGCTTCTTCGACACTACGGCATGCCTCAGAAGATCGTCAATATTTTACAGAATTCATATGATGGATTAAACTGCAAAGTCGTGCTTGGAGGACAGTTGACAAAGTCGTTCGAAATAAACACCGGTGTCAGGCACGGTTGCTTACTCTTACCCTTTCTCTTGGTGATCGACTGGATCATGAAGACGTCAACATCTGAAGGGAAGCACGGGATACAATGGACATCTAGGGTGCAACTGGACGATCTAGACTTCGCAGATGATCTAGCCCTTCTATCACAAACGCAACAACAAATGCAGGAGAAGACGACCATTGTAGCAGCATTAGGTCTCAATATACACAAACGGAAGAGCAAGGTTCTCCGATACAATACAGCATGCACCAATCCAATCACAATTGACGGAGAAGATTTGGAAGATGTAAAAACCTTTACATATCTGGGCAGCATCATTAATGAACATGGTGGATCTGATGCAGATGTGAAAACTAATATCAAAATCACTATCTTCAGTACTAATGTCAAGACAGTTTTACTGTATGAGGCGGAAACTTGGAGAACAACGAAAGCCATCATCCAGAAGATACTGGTGTTTATTAACAGTTGTCTACGCAAACTACTTCGAATCCGTTGGCCGGACACTATTAGCAACAACGTACTGTGGGAGAGAACATACCAGATCCCAGCGGAGGAAGAAATTAGGAAGAAGCGCTGGAAGTGGATAGGACACACATTGAAGAAAGCACTCAACTGCGTCACAAGACAAGCCCTCACATGGAATCCTCAGGGCCAAAGGAGGAGAGGAAGACCAAAGAACACATTACGCCAGAAAATGGAAATAGACATGAGAGAAATGAACAAGAATTGGATGGAATTAGAAAAGAAGGCGGAGGACAGAGTGGGTTGGAGAATGCTGGTCTGCGGCTAATGCTCCATTAGGAGTAGCAGGCGTAAGTAAGTAAGTAATATCACAGTCCAGAATTTTTAATCAGTGACTTCTTCCTGAGCAGACTTAGGTCTTGGTGTAATACGAGTAATAGCCTTATAGTATGCGACTTAATTCATCATATATAAACTGGGTAAACTTGGAAGTAGGGCCATTGATAATACCATTCGATTGAAAACTGTTAGAAACCTCATACATTAGGGTTCCAACCAGATATGACTGACGTAACCTCGCGTCTCTATTGGACTGCGTTTTGAAACACAGTGATCACGTCGAACAAATAACATTTATTTTATCTCTATGGAGAAGCGATCATGCAGCCATTTAATTCAAGGTTATGTCTGGGATGGCCTTTTAAACAGTTGCGCAGCCCGTATTAACATTTGGAAGGCAGACAATGAGGCGAACAACTCTGCAGCATCGGTTGAAAACTGGGACTCATTTCAGGCAGTTACACAATCGGATGATTCAACCATATATACTCTGGCCAATACCAAAAACGAAGCAGGGGCATCCGTGGATAGGTCGAGATAATCGACGTTTACTAAGACAAAAGAAGAAATGTTGTTGTCTTGGAACGGCAGGTACGATGTAACGTTACAGGATAGTAAGAGATAATGGTATAACTAAAATCCGGGAAACTCAGAGTAAATATGAAATGCAGTTAGCACAACCTGCACTCAAGCAGCCTAAGAGAATATTCTCCTACATAAATTACAGAACAATGATGCATCAGTGGATTCCCAACTCACCTAAAGTAGGTAGTGAGTCTGAAATGATAGAGGAAGATCAGAAAAAAGCAGACGCTATGACAAACTATTTTTGGATAGTTTTCACTCAGCAAGCTATTCTAGACGAAGAACTAGACACAACTACAAAGTCAACAAACCACCTGCTTACAGTGGACTTTGATCGAGACGATGTACTTAAGGCTATTCGCAACTTGGACAACAAGACTGGGTAAACGACACCCCAAAATCCTGATACATACTGCACAACATCTCGCAGCTTCATTGACTGTGATATCCAATGTGTCACTTGACCAAGGTGTGTTACCTATGGACTGGAAGGACGCAGTCGTAACTCCCATAAATAAAACAGTACCAAGACAACTTCCATCGAACTACAGACCTGTAAGCTTCATCGGTGTTGTAGTTAAAATATTAAGAAGTTGAAAGCACCATAATGACTTTTATGAAAACCAACAACATGTTAAATAGAAAAACTGTTCCAGAAGGGCCCTATCATGCACAATAAGCATCCCTATGGCAATGGAACATGGAACAAAAGCGATAGACAACGGAAACTAAGTGCAAGATTTCTACATAGACTTCAGCAAGGCATTTGACAATGTGCCAACAAATATACTGCTATTATAGTCAGAAAATTTTACGAATGTCGTACCTCTCTTAAAATGGCGTAAGGATTCCTAAAGAGAAAGTAAAAATAAATTTCAAGTGCTCCATCTGGAGTACATAAAGGCTCTGTCCTACGTCTTTTAATTTTTATACACTCAAGTATTTTAGAGTCCCTATTGTTAATTGATGGAAAACCCTCATTCCAAACCAATGGTGCACAACACATGGTCTCCAGGATCCTGAGGTAACAAATGACGTATGAACCTATCGTTACTCACCGGCTACCATGGGACTGCATCTCCTTACATTGCTCCACTACCTTGTGGATCAGACGTTTAGGTCATGTGTGGCCCACTAAGAAAACCACCTGCTTTGGTTCAGGCACACAGGCGGTATCACAGTTCACATACAGATCAAGTGACTTGGGTGACGCATATATATTCGGTGCCCCTTTGTACCAATATTTGTGTTCAAATAAATAATTATTTGGTTGACTGGTTTTTAATCATATCTGCAGACAATATGGCATAGTCGGATTGATGGAGAGCTGGTTGTTGCAAAGGGTCTGTACGAGATAAATACTGAGAGATTACGTCCAGATCTCCTGAACTATCTTATTTTTCTTTGATAATGTTACTGAATCACTAACTTTAGCACCACAAAGTCAGAGTAGCCCATACATTTGACTCTCATCCTAACAACAGTCCATTACTGAATAGTCTGGGAATACAATAGGTCTCTCAAATGATTGCAACACTTTAATTTACACGAGACTTTTGATCCAGACAAGGCTTAAATGATTGTCACTTACTAATGAGTCAAGAAGTGTGTTCCTTCGGCTTGGTTTTACTACGTAACCAGAAATTAAAAACCGACAAATAAGTCATAAGACACTTGAAAAGCAAGCTATGTCTTGCCGCAAGTGCAGAAACCAAATAACTCAAAGAGAATATTTTAAGGGTTAACAGTGGAAAGAAAACAGGAATTAATTCGCCCCATTTCTGCAGTGGATGTACAGCAACAATAACAAACGATTAAAGTGACCACGTGCACTTTGAACATTTTTAAACTGGATATTATTGTATTTTATCATGTCAATTGTAGGACATAAGAAACCCACCTAACAGGTTGGTGGTATTCACACAGCCAATCGAATCTTTCATCTGGAACTGCAACACGACCTTAAATACTTTAATTGGCTTATTCATGTGAATAAACTTACTTTCATTAGGATTAATAGTGCAAAATGGAAAATTCTCGGCGGGGACTTGACTTTTAGTGAGAATATTGAAGAATGTAGATTTTCTAAACTACATTAGAAGAAATTCTAAAGCAACTAACCCAACGTTTGGGAGGCCTACTACACCACATTTCAGATTAGTACCGATTCTCCCAAGCAAAACAGCTTTTTTTGGCACATCGCCTTTCTTCTTAGACATTGGTATGAGGGTTAAACAAGCGCCAAAACCTCCAAGGTCGGCACGAATCACGCCCGAATTGCCCCCCAAATGTTTAGTAGCGAGAGAAGAACGTCGAATGTGTTAATCCATGCAATTTATAGTCTGTCTCTCTTTAGTTTTTATACTGTCTGAAATTATCTCCCAAGTATAGTACAGTCCTCAATGTTATTATACGATGACGATGTAAAGGTCTGGCGAGTAATAACTGGAGGCGCCGATGCATGTGCTCTTCAAGCATACTTAAATAATATGATTAATTGGTCTAGAGAGTGTCTGACGCATATTAACGCGGCAAAGTGTGTCTACATGCGCTTTGCAGACACAGTGGTTACTAGGTAAAACATAGGGGAAGTGCCAGTACCCGTGATCCGGTCTCATAAGGATCTAGGGGTGACAGTGAGTCATAATCTTAAGACAACGGCCCATTGCCGGAGGTCGCAGCTAAAAGGTTAAGAACCTACCAAGCTTTTATACGGACATTCACTAAGTTAGATACTACCATGTTCACCACAGTATACAAAACCTTAGTGAGAACTAAGATTGAGAACTGTGTTCAGGCTGCAAGCCCCTTATTGAAAGGTGAATCGGATATCCTGGAGCAAGAATGGAGGGCGGCTATCCGTGCGATTCTAGAACTCCGGGATTTACCATACAAAGACAGGCTTGGAAAGCTAGAACTCATTACTCTGGTCTATCGTAGACTAAAGGGAGATCTAATTTTGATGTACAGAATACTGAGAAATGATTTCGGACCCAAATTATTGGCTATTTTTCTTCTCACTAGATGGGGACATCACAGAGGACACAGTAGGTGAGTGGAAAAGTCACGAACAAATAAAATACCCTTGGCATACATGTTTTCACACCGAATCATCAATTCTTGGAACCTGTTTCCTGAAGCAGTGTTTTCCTCACCTTTAATTGACTCATTCAACAGAAGACCGGACACTCACAGAAGGAATAACATATGCCGTATATCTTTTGTCACTACTACACAAATATTTGCTGATATGAATTTACAGCATGATTGCCGGTTGCCTCTAGAAACGGATGTGGAAGCTATAGAAACTTTAGAAAATCTTACAAATATTTCGTTCGCAGCCTTTTTCTTCTGAAGCCATGTTGCGGGACGTCAACTAAACCTTCTCTTAGTATGTGTCCGGATAACAACTTTTTTTCAATTTCTTCAATATCTGTAAGACGACTGTGGTGATATTAGTCTGCCTGTAGTTCAGGACTAAGTTTTTGGCCGGGAATTTTTTTGAGGGTTGATATATTTTACCTTACATGCTTGAATATATGTGTCAGCTACTAAAGATATTGTACACATTTTCAGAAACTAGCATCTGTAAATCTGCTCCTGCCATTTCGTAGAAATTCTGTCAGATATCATCTGCTTCCCAGAATACACTCGATTTGAATAAGGGTTTTAATGGGAGCAATGAAATTGAAGAAGTTATTTTCTTTGATACGAATATCTGATGCACGAGAGATTCCTTTAGTAGTTTACAGATGACATTATGGTCATCATATGTAAATCTATCATGCTATGCACGATAAATTCAATAATCTACACTCTTTTCACGTACATATTGATCGGAAACAGAAGTGAGTGCTGGACATACTGATGGTTGCTCATATCTTTCAAACCTACTTTTCACATGCTCAAGTAAACGTCAGTTTGATGCATGACTACCGTCCATTAATTCCAAACACGTTTGTTTTCGTAGCGGTGCCTTGGTATTTGCTTATATAAGGAGTTATTTTCCTAAAAATAGTTCTCGTGAGGTAAAACGTGTCCACTAAATATTTATTGGTAATAGTGAACATACCTTGTGTTTACGTTTGTCACTAATTAAAAATTTTCTTCAATTAGAGTGCTCTATTATTATGACATTATTTCCTCCCATCAGATAGTGTCTACACTGAAAAATCTGTTATCGATTTGGATAGATTACGTTTCGCAAGATATGGTAAAGTCTTATGATCATGATCACGCAACATTTCACCGACCACAATGTATGTCAGAGCAACGTCGTGACAGAACATGAAGTTCGGAATAGTGTGAATATTTGGCAAGTGCATACTTTTCTGTCAGCCATGCATGTCTAAGCATATAAACCTGTTTTTAAAGGGTATTACTCCAATACCCTTCTATTAATGTTTAGCAAGTTGAAGTCATTGCAGACAAATCTAGATTTGAACGAGAGGATGCGACCATGGCAAAGAACTCATTCATAGTGTTGCCAATTGAATCAGGATTGTTTATGGCACTATAAGTAGTGAGTTATAATCGCGCGCATGTGCATTATGCATCAACTCGAGTTATTAGCAGACGAAAGGAGTACTATATATCTCTGCTCTCGTTTTTCTAGAAGTGTATCCAACTACCGCTCCAAACTTTAGGCTGAGATTGAAATAAACTAAGCATGTACGACGTAAAAATAATTAAAAGGCGCTGCCACAGAAAAACAAACTTCGCTACCACCATTTTCTCATTACGTCACAAATACTCCCACAATTTACCCGTCAATCCAGTAGAATTGAATATCTCTGGCTAGTGTCTACATCATGGAAGATGAGTACGCTCTCACACTGAAGAACCATTTATCAGCAAGACATCTAGTGAACGACTTCGAGAGCAGTCAGCCACACATACAACTTTCAGTGTCTCATCTTGGTAACTCTAACAGTCTTACACTGTCAGTTGAGAAGCGAATTTCAGCCTAGAAATACTTGGGGGCGCTAGATAAGATGACATTTCATTTACTACTTTAGTGTACCCAATTACCGAACACGTAACGATGGCAACAAACCTACTGACTTATAAACTAATATGGTAAGATTTAAAAGCTATGTGTATATCCCACAGAGACGGAATTTAACGCAACTCCAAGTAATATCAAATTTTATTTTATAAAGTTAGTGAAAATAAATTAGGCCTATATAACACAACAAATATCATTTTTTCTTCGCTTGAAGACCGGCACCCGCATTGAATTTAAACAATATAATATCCCCATCTTCAACAATATATTCCCGTCCTTTCTGTTTGTATTTGCCAGCAGCCTAATAAGACAATAGAGTAGAGAACAAATTGACCAAATGGATAAAACTGAACAACAATAATGAAACGGTCTAATATATAACGAAAATTGAAGTCTGTATGGCGTTTAGCAAAGTATCATATACACTTCTGTTTTATAAATATATACTGACGAAAATTTACCATTCCAGTAAATAATAAGATGTATGGATGATTGTTAATTGATTTTATTACTTGGATTTCATTCATTAGGTCACAAGTTCAATTCTCTATCCACCTATGGAAAGTCAGATCAATGTCAGGAATACAATTTGAATCAGGACAATTAGTCTTCTTTCGTGTATTCTTTTCTGTTACATCACTTGATAATGGCAGTATATAGTCTTTTCGTTTATAAAACCACATAATTTTTAGCAACTAGATGAAAGAAGTTGTTTTGACTCAGATTAGTTTGGTCGAATAATGTAACTCAACCTATATTGATTAACCAAAAAAGCATACACCATGTTCGCTAAACGGAAAATTCAATCATAGAAAACACTATGTATAGTTACTTTGACAGCAGCTTCAGAACCTTCTGCTTTGAAATCTTCATATGACATAACTTCAGCCATGATAAAACCTTTTTCCATATCTGTATGTATTCGACCAGCAGCTTGAGGAGCTTTTGAGCCTTTCTAGAAGAGTAAAATAAAGAGATAATTATTTAGTTGATTTAACTTATTGTTAAAAATATGGTGAACAGAAAATGAGATTATGGACAAACAGAAATGAATACATTTTCGGCTTAACAAAACAAAATCATTCAAAGCTTTATAATAATGAAATATTGATTTAAGATTAGACTTTGACACAAAGGAAACACTAAGGTTTGCTTAGAATACAAATGAATAGAGAACTCAAATAATCTAATTTATAAGAGTTTTTTTAATCATTGCATTTGTTGATGCCTTGACTAAGTTTTGGATCAGCAGATACATCCGAGTAGGTTGGTTTTAAGTTACACTCTAAATGCACTGGTATGGCCGAGAGTAGGGAGAGTTCGCTCTCCCTCTCAAAATGCTCTCACATGGTCACGCGTATATAGCCTCTGCCAGGGAATTCCTACTCATTGCTTTCTCGTGGCAGGGGTGTTGTTTACGAAAATGAGAGGACGAAAAACGAACGTCCGGCGCTTTAACCGGATTCCAAACCAATAACGCACATGGGCTCCAGTATCCTGTGGGGACAAATGACGTAGGAACTAATTGTTGGTCACCGGCTACCATGAGACTGCATCTCCTTACGATGCTCCACTGCCTTATGGATAAGACCTTTAGGTCGAAGACTCGGGGAGTGGCCCCCTAAGGAAACCACCTACTTCGAATTGGGCACCCAGGCAGTATCACAGCCCTCACACAAACCAAATGAGATTTGTTTGGCACGTATGTATTTGGTGCCTCCTTGTACAAATATCTATGTGTTAAAATAAATGAATAAATAAAATGTAAAAACTACTGATACCACCCGAATCTACAACTTAGTGACTGAAAATCAAACGCCATAACCATTGAGAAACACCACCTAGTAGAGTGATCGATGACTTGTTGTTTACTATTTATTAATGGTAGAATTCAATTGATCAACTCGTAAGCTAGCTATTCAATATAATGACTGCATTGCAATTTGATTGACATTAAGAATAAAACGAATATTATATTGGTTAGTACTACTCAGTGATCAGCTAGCTGATGTAAATATTTAAGTCCTACAGGTTACGGGTTGTATCTGAGATCGTATTACTGGATGACGAAAGAAGTAACAATTCATTTGAAATTGTAGATATGCTTTGTTGATGAATGTCAATCAAGACGATACAATAGTTTAAAACTTTACATTGAATGCTTTCAAACTGTTCTACAACGTACTATACAGTGCTATACAACAATGATTA